CCCCCCCCCCCCCCTCTCCAGCTGCCTCTCTGCCGCTGCCCCCTCTCTGACCCCGGCATGCTCACACACACACGCACACGCCTGCACGCGCGCGCGCGCGCACTCGCACGCACAGCTCTTCGTCATTTCTCACGACCAGTACATGGTCTCGGCCGTGTGTGACGAGCTCCTCTCCCTGGAGGACGGCAACCTGACCTCCTTCCATGGTGACTTCAATGACTACAAGCGCTACATCCGCAACAAGGGCCGCCGCTAAGTCACCCATGGCCGCCCACCACCAACGGCACACATGGGACCTGGCACATGGAGCGGGATCAGCCCATCTTCGACCCATAGAGGATAACTGCTTCCTGAGAGGCCGAGCATGCCGAGCATCCCCTGCTTCCCTTCAAGCCGACCCCACTGTGCAGCAAGAACAAAATACATCTCATAGACATCCATCGCCACTTGCCGTTGTACACGCCCTCCCCACCGCCAGCAGGCCATGTCCTCGCGGCGCCTGTCCGCTTGGGCGACCCTCCCCCTCCCCTCTCTCGGGCAGGAAGGGCACCTCCAAAGCTCGCGGAAAGCACATATGCTCGTCTATACATGCCGGGAATGGGCACACACACACACACACGCATGCACATCGTCCCACACAGTGCCACGCGCGGCCACATGTGCGCAGGCCGAGGGCCCTGTCAATGGCGCGGCGCCGCCGGGCCCGATGCCAGCAGGGCATCCGGAAGATACACCCTCGACCAGTACCGAACCAGGCGCTTGGCCAGGAATTCCCAGGCCTCCTCGGCCGATTGGCACTCGCCCAGCTGGTCGGATGGGCTGTCGGTCGCCGCATGGGCCTCCGGCACAAAGTGAATGACCACGCAATCCGTGCGCAGGAGGGCGGCGTCGCTCGGGCGCCGGCGCCAGCCCCCGCGTCCGCCGGTCCCGCGCAGGGCCGCCCGGACCAAGTGGCCGCGCTCATCCAGCAGCTCGTCGCACAACTCGCCCACCGAGCCGACAACCACGGCTGCGGTGGACCGGCGAAAGAGGGGGGGGGAGAGAGAGCACACACGTGCGCACATGCGCATGGGGCCATGTGAGTGGAGAAGGCAAACCGGCAAGGGTCGGGCACAGGAGGGCAGACTGGGGCGGGAACAAAAAAAAGGTCCAACAACATGGGCCCGCAGCCAGAGGCCAAAAAAAAAGAGGCATGGGGGGGGGGGGGCGGGGACAACCACCACCTGCCCAGCACGCACTGTAGGGGATGCCGAGCGCGCGCCGGACCAGCTTTTGCAAGTTCACACGGTGGGAGCCAAGCTGCCGGTGGACCAATGTCCCATCACAGCAGAGGGATACCGCGGAAACCCGGGGGGGGGGGGGGGCGAAAGAAAGCAAAAGAGAAAGGCATTCAGAGCCACACCCGTCAGTGAATCGACCAAAGGAGAGAGGCAAAGAGAGAGAGAGAGAGAGAGGCACAACCATGGCACGCCCCATGCTCGCACCTGGTCAATGATGTACACCAGCTGCATGCTTTCCCGTGGGTCCGGGCTCCCGGCCAACAGGGCCGCCGTCCCCCGAGGGCCAACCAGCCCGAGAGACCCGCCATCCGGCGACAGGGGCCCCATGCTGTCATCGCTGTCGGTGTCCACCGTCGGCAGGGTCAGGTCGGCCAGCGTGGCCGCCGACGGGGACAGGCTCTCGGCCGAGGGGGGCCCCTGCCGGAGGAGATCCCCGGACGGGATGGCCGCAAGGGAGGCCGACACGGCCTCCGCACACCGGGGGAACCCCGGTGCCGGGGCAAAAGCCCGGAACTGGCCCAGCGCAAAGAGCAGCTCCCCCTCGCGCACCCGGGCCCCATATGGCCGGCCATGTGCCCCGCCGGCGGCCCGAAAGATCGCCAGAGTCATCGGGTCCACCGCGGCCAGGGTGCTATTGCCGGCGCCATCGCGCCCGGCCCCGCACAGGATCAGGCTCAGCACCCGCAGCGCATAGAAACAGCCCACGGCCACGGCCCGCGGGTCCAGTGTCACCTGGTGGAAGGTGTCCACCAGGCCCCCGGCCCCGGTGGCCGGCCGCTCCAGCACCGTGTCCATGGCCGGGACGTCGGTGGGAAAGGCCCCCGCCAGTCGGCCGGTGGTGGCCAGCCTGCATGCCAAAGGGACGAGGGGGGCATAAGCCAGGAAAAGAAAGCCATCAGCAACACCATTCACCACGCCAACGCCCCCAGCTCAAGGGGGCCCGCCTCCGTTCGGTCGGCGCCCCTCTCTCTCTCTCTCTCTCGCTGGTACGCACGCTTGTAGTGGGAATCGCCGGGCCAGGCGCAGGAAAGTCCGGGCCTTGGGGGTCAGCAGCCAGGCCGGCACGGCTGCCGGCTCCGGCCGCACGCCCGGCTCCGGGGCCGGAAACTGACCGACAGAGGGCGCCAAAGAAAGTGTCAGCAATGGCGCGCGCCCGCCCGGCGTCGGGAAGGACGAAGCCAAACGCACCCCGAAATAGAGATCAAAGTAGTCGATGTCGCGCAGCTCGGACATGCTGGGGGGGGGGGGGGGGGTTGCGGCACACGGCCCGCTCAGACGCGCTCTGTACGGAGGGCCTCGAAAGGAGTGGGAAAAGAAGGTGCGGGGGAAAGGGGCACGCGAGCGAGCGAGCGGGCGGGCGGGCAGGGGAGAGGAAGAGGGCGAGGAAGGGTGGCTGGCGTGGGACCGAAAAGCCGGGGAAGGATGATGGTGCGGTGGAGATCTCCGCCTCCACAGCCCAGGGGCGCCCCCCGACGAAGGTCCCCCGCCCGGCCTCGCATGCCCGCGCCCGCGCCCCCCCTCCCCCCCAGTACCGGCGTGCAGGCCACCCGCCGCTCGCGGCCGGGGCAGATCGCACCCAGAGGCCGGGTCCGTTGGCAGACCAGCGGCCCTGCCGCGATCCGCGCTAGTCCCCGCCGAGGCCCGGCAGGCAACGCGCCCCCCTCGCGAACGCCAGGCACCGGAAGCTCCCGCCCCGCCGCCCGCCGCACGTACACCGCCCCCGGATGCGCACGCGCTCGCACACACATGAAGGCCAGTGGGGCCGTTCGAAATTACCCGCGTACCGTGGACAGCCCCCTGCGCCCCCCCCCCCTTCCACTGTCTCCTCCTCCTCCCCCTTTTCCGCCTCCCCCCTTCCCGCCGAAAAAGCGCTCCCTGCACGCGCGTGCGCCTGTGCGCTCTCCTCGCCGACCCCCTGTCCCCGCTCCCCGCGCCCCGCCCCTCCCCCTCCTCTCCCTCCTCCTCCTCTCCTTCCGCCCCTCCACCCGACCCCCGGTCCCGAGGAAGAAGGCCCCAACAAGGGCGAGGCTGCCCGCCAGTGAGAGACGCCCAGCGGCCATGAGCAACATGAACGAGCCCTATCGCGAGAGCGACCTCTCGAAGATCCGCTGGTCAAACCCGATGTTCTTCCGCGAGCACGAGCCCCTGCCGCCGCCCGGGCCACCGCCCCCCGTGTCCACGGACATGCCATCGTCGAATGTGGTGCTGACGAACTTCCGCTTCGACACCGGCGCGGCCGCGGCCCCGGGCGCCATGCCGGAGGCCGGCATGCTCAACCCCGACGTGGCCGCTGCCCTGCCCACCCTCCCCCGGAACCTGGTCATGCCCTACTTCCAAACCTCCCCCTTCTATGACGCCGGCTGCCGCAATGAACAGATCCGCAACCAGCGCATTGGCGACCCGCTGGCCCAGGCCGCCATGCGCCGGCTCCCCAACGGCCGAGTCAACGTCCCGGCCGTCATGGAGCTGGACCAGGTCATTTCCACTGACCTGGAGTGCGTCCTGCTGCCATATCCCCCTCTCCGCCTTTTCCCCTCTCTCTCCCTCTGGCCTCCTGGCTCCCGGCCCCGCTGGGCTCGCCATGCTTCCTCACCGGCGCTGACCCCCCCCCCCC